GAACAATCGGTTTGACGTCAGGTGCAGGTGTAGATGACACTACGCAACAATCATCATCTTCGTCGTTAGAGTCGCCATTTATTTCTATTATAGTGACAGAGTCTTCTGTCTTTGTAACTGGCAGTAAAGAAGAATTTGTTGCGGTAGTTACGTTTGATACACCCGGCTCAGTTTTGATCTTAGCTATTATAGGCGTAGGTGCTCTGTCCAAGGGAGGTGAGGTTCTTTCAGATTTAATTTCTTTTGAAAGAAGTGGTACATTTTTAGATTCAGTCTCTGTAGAGTCGTAAATTTCCTGTTTGACTACTACATTTTCTGTATTCACTTCGTGCGATTCTCGTCTTTCTGGTGTTTTCTGAACTTCTTTTGTTGGTGATGGACTGTTGCTTAACTGTTGGAGATGTTGACTCTTGTTGGGTAGAGGGTTGTTTGGGCCTCTTTTTGGTGTTTGTTTAACCGATGGTCTCCCCGAAGGTTTTGGCATTGGTGTCTCCTTTTTAGGAACTTCTTTGCTCTGTTCTATAGATGAGTCCGATTTAACAACTATATTAGATGGTAATTGCTTCACAATGGTCTTGCTTATTTGTCCTTTTTGTATTTTAATAGGTTCCATTTTAATTTGTTTGCCTTGGAATTTCTTCATCTGATTTTGTAAGTCATTTTTACTAGATTCACTGTTGTCTGAACTCCGTCGGCTGATATTTACAAGTTGTTCATCATCAGAGTCTCCTTCAAAGTCTTCATCATCTTCTTGATTTTTGTTTTTACTCTTATCATCGCCAGATTCGTCATCGTTGCCGCCTTCGTGATCACTTTCATCATCATCGTCATCAGATGGTCTAAAACCTTTCAAGCCATTGACAACTGTAAATGTATTTAATTTATTTCCATCTGATTTAAGCTTTAACCTTATGTTTCCCACTTTTTTGTTTATTTGACTATCATTTTGTTCATTTTGTTCTTCTTTCTTGATAGGTGTAGAACTTTTTTTTATAGTAAACCCTAAATTGCTCAATTTATTTAATGCAGCTTCAGAACTTTTACCAGTGTCACTTTTCTTTATTGTAAGGCCTGTCTTATTAAGGATCTGGGAAATATTAACTTTTTGCGGCGTCTTGTTCCCTTCTCGCTTGAGTGGAAGCTGTAGTTCCTCATCATCGGACCAATTTTCATCATCTGTATCAACCGGGTCTTCATCATCTGACGGTAGCCTCTCCAGCACGACGGAGGGCAGCGACACATGTTGATATAAATGATTTTCCAAATCTTCCCAATCAACAAAGTCCTGGTCACAAGTTTTACAACAGTACTCCTTTTTAGGTTTTTTCAAAAGTGCACCGGCCGACTGAAGCCTTTTTAGTATATCAGCAAATCCATTACCATTATTGTTTGTCTTGGTATCGTAAGTATCATCTTCAAAATCATCATCTACGGGCTCATCTAGCTCCTCGCAGTCTGGAATTACAAAACATTTTTTCACAAATTACAAAACTAAAATTTTGAATTTAAACTCAGTTAAGTAATTTATAATAACCATACTAAAAAAATGGATTATACCCAACCATCACCTGGTTAGGATTAATACAAAAAAATTATACATAAACGATGAATTTATCGTCATTTAATGCTTTTCTACATAGAAATAATTTACATTAGCCAACATCTGTCATCATCATCATCCCCTTTATTCTACTCTCGTAGGGTTTTCATCCTCCGTACAACTCTATCATATGTCATCTGTCATAACTCCCTTCTTAATCATGTCACCATTCAAACAACACATCCATCTCTTTCTAGGTCTACCTCTACCTGTGTACCCCTCCACCAGCCAATAGCTATCAATTTGTCCCTAATATATTTTTTGTTCATATCACTATTTTATTTAATCTTACTAATATTATAAATGCCAAAGTTTAGATGGATGGATGGAGGGATTTATGTTTGTTAGAGTTTGTAGCCTAAATGGCTGAATCTCTATAAAATTTGGTATATTTGTAAAGAATAGTCTAGAAGAACTCATAAGCTACTTTTGTTTTTTTTTTTAATTCCATGCTGATTGAGTTGCAGACAAAAAGTTATTTAAATATAGAAGGAATTAAAAAACAAACCTGATTCATTGTTTGTTGGTGAGGGGGGATACTTGGTATTAATTCTCGTTGCCATGGTACACCTGTAAACAAGTGCGCTTTAATATTTTGACCGAAAGTACAAAATTCCATCAACTTGAACATCACTAGTAAAAAAAGTTACTTTATCCTCTTTACTACTATAATATAATTGTTTAAGTCAGTAGCAGTAAACATTATTTTGAACTATTCAACCAATTAGTTCAAGAGGGTAGTGTATTTTCTATATTAAACCCGCTAGACAACATTAATTTTAAATCTAGTTTAAATTCTCACAATAACAATTTACATGTGTAGAAAATTGGTAATTATTCAATTTAGCTAGCAGTACCTGGATACACAAGTCGGTTTTAACTGTACAGTATGAATTAAAACTAAAGTTATGTAGCTTTATTGAATTTATGAGCCATCCTGTCTAATTGTTTCTAATGATAATTTATTTTTTGTAACTTTATTTGCTTGTTAACATAAATATAAATTATCTAAGAGAATACTATTTTAGAAATGAAAATATAGTTGTGTATTATTAGAAATATATTGGTTTTGAAATAAACATGTATTAAAATTAGTCATAACTAATACTAGGTTAGTAAATTAGAAAATAACCACAACTTTTTAGTACCTTCCCTGATAAAATTTATTCTATATAAGAATGTGACAAAAAATATATAAATAAATGTTCCGTTTTGTCATAAGATTTGATGTTTCAGGTGAAATATGATATAATTTACTATAAATGATAGGTTATAATGTACTAAACATTTGTTTTGTTTTATTAAGAATTCAACCGCCAAAAAATTATTAGAAGCTAAATACCTAATTTAAATTGTAATCAATTAAAACAGTATTATGAAAATACGGAACAATTTGATAGAGTAAATTAAGTGTAAAGTAAAAGCAAATTATAATGTTTGTTGTTTGCAATTGGAAAGTAAATACAGTCAACTACAACGATCTGTTTTACCGGGTTTCGGTGTTCTATTACAATTGATAATTATGAAAATGGAACTACACGAAGGGTAATTTAAACCCTATATCAACTTACTTTCATTGTCCAATTGAAAAATAATTTCAGATGTGTTGTTTTATCCAAATTTCTAATTGTTATTGTTGTTCACTAAAGTTCATCTCTCAACTGTCACTAAACACTTAAAACAATAATACACTTTGAATAATTAAATAGTTACACATCTATTCATTACAAATATTTATTTATCTTATGAAAAAACAAAGAAAAATCAAACAGTTTTGTTTTAACAATACGAATAAGCATTTTACAAAATGGCCGGCCGATTTTGACAAGCGGGAACCACAATATTTCAGAGTTTTACTAAGGTATTCATCGAATTATTCAGAATTATTAAAAACCGGATGAACTTTCATCACAAAGTATAACTTTAATCGAATTATTTAAATTAGAAATTGGATCAATAATATTCCGATTAAGTATTCACTCTGAGCAACCGAACGAATGTCTCATTCGATCATGAACGTACACGAGCTATATCTAGCCGACCGAATAAAATTCCGCTCTGCTCACTCGTTCAGGTACTAAGCGGACACCGACGCCAGTCCCAGAATACCGAAGTGCCAGTATTGTCTAGCAGGCAAATTCCTAGGTAGTCGAAATGTTGTCCCTTTCACACACATACGATACAGTATGCAGCTATCTCTTTTCAGCTTTCTATGGAAGATACCATTTGCTGCGAAGAATTATTATCGGCTGGTGCTATAACGCTTCATAATGTAATGACCTCGCTCGCTCGGCTTGTGTTCGCTCAAACCAAACGCCGAGACCGACGAAAGTAATAATAATAGCGCCGTATCGACCGCCTGTTTTGTTGAGTGAGCATATCATATACCTACATTCTAATGTATGAACTTCGAACATTCAACAAACTATTCATCGATTAGTATTAGGAATATTGTAATATGTTGAAAATTAATTAATATACCGAAAGGTAAGCTTTAAATTGTATAGTTTGTATTATTAATGCTCTGGATATCGGTATCCATTGCTATGGATATCCTCAAAAAAAAATCCATATTCGTTAAATTTGGCAAAATTAAAATGGTTTGGAGACCGACCGACCGCCAAACTTCGCTTGTCGTAGAGGCACCTAGCGAAGAAGAAGAAAATAATTTGGTATCGTTCGGGAGATGAATATGCAAAAAGTGGCATTTTCTTTGAAAACAGGTATGGTAAATGGCTAAATCGACTTTCGCTAGCAAGATGTTATGTGCTCGTCATTGCAATATCCATAAAAGAGTAAAAAACACTATAAAATATTATTAAAAATCTCGTATTTAAAATCATAGGAGCTGTCGCCCGCAAACTTCGATTGCGCGGAATTAACAAAAATGGTCGTCTACACATTCCCGTGCATCGACCTTCTACCAGCTATCTTCCGATTAAAGTCAAAATTGCTCACAATTGGTCCTCCAGTTAACAAATAGCGGTCCGGTCGCCATTTTGACAGCGGGGATTAAAAAAGGTACCTATAATATGCCCGTACATGTCAGCTACCCTCCAGTAAAAGTACCGTCAAAATCGGCCCGGCCGTTTTGGCAATTATCCGGAACAAACGCGGCTTGCGGACAGACAGGCACACAAAATTTTTTGAAATGCGATTATCGTTGTCAGCAATGCAAATGCATCATCTTCCCGAAATCTGGAATTTTTCTTTTGATATTACAGACTGACCAATTTTATTATATTTATAGATAGATAACGTAAATTCAAAAATAGTTATGGAATAATTATCTATTAAAGACCAAAAGTTAGAGGATACGGATTATTCCTGTATATCCATGGTTATATCCATAGATACGGATTATTCCTGTATATCCATAGATACGGATATCCACTAGTTAATTTAGTGTTATTAGATATATTATGGACTTCAACGTTTGCAATTTTCTTGTAATGAATTATGTATGATGCTCACAGGATTTCCTACCGAAAAATCTTGGGCAACTAGAAAATGCGTTTACTATTTTTTTTCGAAGGAGAAAAGAACGCATGCAAATAAAGAGTATATCTTTCCCTTCCCACGCATCCTCTCCATTGTCAATTCTACTTCCCTTTCCCATCTTTTCCTAAGAAAAGGTTAATAAGAGGTAGGTGATTAAAACTAGGACACAGATGTTATTTCTGACGTCTGGCACTGTAAAAAGATATGTAATGCAATTATTGACGACTAAGAGAATAGTGTGTAAATCCATTTATTGTTAAGAGCACACAAAGGAGGCAATCATAGTAGATCACTGCTGTGATGAATTTGTATGCTAGTAACTCGACTCGCCATCCCCGTCCACTTGATAATCATTTAGCGATTTTTTTTATAATATGTTTACCGTTTTTTACTTTTTATGAATTTTTGAGGGTTTTTAAATGAATTCGATTGGGTCAACGGGAAAACCCTCATACCATTTCGTACGTTATAGTCTATTTGGCCTTAGTAGTTCCAAATTTAGTTGAGTAAGGCAAAGTCAGCTTATTGGAATGCACCTGTATATGTAAGTACTGAGCTCAAAAAAGATTCATTGTCAAAAAATTTAGTCAGCAATAGTCCAAAATAAAATATCACCGCGGTCTTCCTTACATCGCAAAACTTTATAGGACCTAAACTTGAGATTCAAAACATTTTAGTATTTGAATAACGTATGATATCGAGTATTAAAACTATTATCAACAGATCAAACTATAAATTTCAATCACAATAGTTACCACAAAAAAGTCACAAATCTCCTTTGGCAACTGTACGTTACATTCCACTAAGCTAACTTAGCCTCAGTCAACTAAGATTGGAGCTACGGCGGTCAAAACCTGTTATGAAGTCTAAAAATAAGCGATAGTCATACAAACTGTTAAGAGTATAAGATATCAAAAAAAATCAATGTTAATTCATATATTAAACGGCACTATTCATAAATCATAAACACATCATGTACTGCATCTTTTCAAAATACCGAATATTTGCCAAGGCCGACAAAATTTATACTTTTCGGTATACACAAGTAGTCATAAAACGTCCCACAAATTCCTGACCTGCGTAGTCAATGCCATCGCGAGATCGACCGGTTTCATCCAACGCGACGCTTTTATCTATCTCTTTCTAACATTCGCTACAGATGTTGATTGAACGATCACGCGATAAGTTCAAGTTTTTATCATTTACCAGTGTCGTATTTTTATAACTTGTGTATACTTATCCGACATATGGCACAAAAGGTATTATTATTACTCGAACCGAGTCTGTAAACCGAACGTCAAGCTATAAATGACATGTACTGCAGGGGTGACTTAGAGGTCATAACGTCATTACGGAACAGTGTCTATAAAAATGTCCACTTTATCAGTGGCGTAGTAATAGTTAGATTTTGTTGGCAAGTTACTTTCCGCGAATTAGAAAATAATAAATAAGCCGTTAATTAGTATCATAACAATTAAGGTGTTTCGGAGATTACCCGGAATAAACGCGGCTTGCGGACAGATAGGCAGGATCGGCCGATTTTGACGGGACTTTCTCTGGAGGGTAGCTGACATGGGCATTATAGGCTACCTTTTTTATTCTGAGCTGTTAAAACAGCGACCGAACCGTTATCTTTGGAATGGGTAGACCGATTTTGACGGGAATTGAATTTATAAATTGAATTGAATTTGATTTAAAGGTAGGTAGTAGAAGTAAAGTTAGATGCACTCGAGGATGTTATAGACGACCTTTTTTTAAATTCCGCGCTAACCAAGTTTGCGGGCCACAGCTCGTTCTACCATATGTATAGACAGAATATATTGATAACTTTTTTAATTTTTTGCTCGTGTGAGTTATTCCCAATAAGGGATAACGATACGGAAGCCCAATTATTATTATTTGTTCAAGAAAAAGAAATATAACTGTAAACACATTATTTTAGAGGCACGGGCAAATTTTAGTCGAAAATCTAATATCTACGATATTTATACAAAAAAAAAATAATTTGAAAGCTTGTGGTCCGTCTGTTAAGAATCACCATGTATACTTTTTGTACTTATAAAACAAAGCTGCCAAAAAGCCACTAAAACAACTACTTACTCAATATTTTCGTCGAGAATTTTCAATTCTGGGAGATTTTCTTCAAACTTTATGATGCTGTTTCTAGAAAAAAAATGTTACCCAATCATATCTGGCACAATACTTTTCACCCGAGACTCCTAAAATGTCGAATAAAAAAAAACAAAAGAGTCTAGTCTATCGTTCTAAACTATCCTCTTCATCTATACTAAATCTCATCAAGATCTGTTGAGCCGTTTAGGCGACAAACTCTAACCATTCATTCACCCATTTAACTTTCGTCTTTATAATATTAGTAAGAAGAAATATGTTACAGTAAGTTATAGTAAAATAGATTATTGACACGAACTACTACAATAATGCGGTAATATTTACTTACTCTTTGCATTTTAGTTTAGCTTTCCGCTTCTCGGAGCTAAAAAAAAAAAAAATCGTGTCAACATTAGGTTAACGTGTTAAATCAACATATAGATTCAAAACTAAAAATCATATTATAGTTCTGATAATGTGTATTTTATTTTTTGTATTTTATCAAGAGTAAAGAGCATAAGTGTACAGATCAATTGAAGCCCTTACTTGGCGAGCATATGTTACCCTAGAGGTAATGTAGCCATCATATTAGGGAATTTTCCGATGGACCGATCGGCCAACTGATCGATGGGATTTCCTATTGGGTCGATGGATTGGATGGATTCAATCAGTCTAATGGGAATAAAAAATCCCATTGGGCCCATCGGGAAACATCCTCGCGTTATTAATCAAAATTAACAATTTCACACTTACCCGAACCTTCCATCGTTTGGTGTTTTTCTCCTTTTTCGTGTAAAAGTATAGTTTAAATTTTTACTACTCTTATTACCCATTATCACTTAAATATTAAAAATTGATTTCCAAACAATACATTACCAAAAATAGAGTAAAAACTACAAAACAACATAGTGAATACACTCAAGAGACATCTTTCCTTGTATTGTTTATATTGTATAATAGGGGTGTGTCTAATTTACAAAAGTTTCATAGAGGTCGCCAGAAGAGAGAGAGAGAGAGCGGATGGAGGTACCTTCTCCCCCCTACAGGCGAAAATTGTAAAATAAATAAATTAATAATAAAAACTACCATGGGCTAGCATTGTTATGGAAGAGCAAACAATATAAAAAACTAAGATGTGTACAATACCAAGAGATTCACATAGGGATACATAATTCAAAAACTAGATGAAAGTGGTTAATTAAAAAATTGTATCATATGTTGAATAGTAATAAATAAATGACACTTATTATTAATATAAAAACATTTTCCTTTTCATTTGGTAACTTGGTTAAAAAATGACTGCTATTAATGAGTTTTTCAGATTCATTCGACTCCAAGCAAAAATCATGTAAGTTTCCATAAAAATAAAGCAAGTGGTAAATTTTCTTATGCATCCAATCATTCTCCCTTCTCTATTTTTTTTAATCTTTACTCTGTTTTAATGCAGGTGCTCTCATATCTCTAAATTCCTTTGTGAGTATTTTTCTTTTGTAATGTTTCATTTAATCAGTTGAAGTACTGGCGGTTGGTTGTTGGCAACAACCCATACCAGGTAAACGAGTACCCATTGTATTGTTAATTTCAAAGTATTTGTTAATTCCGATGGATGTCTACCGGCAAGTATAGTAGACCTGCAGTAATCTGACAAATATTCTACAGGGAAGTCTCTAACTATTGAATTTGTTGGATTATAGTGCTGTCCATGTGTACCTGTACATTTTACTGTCCTGTCTGTACTGTCCATGTACCTGAACTATAGTACAAAATAGTACCTTGTAATCAGACTAATTACAAAATAAATATAGATATTATCTATAATAACATTATAAAGAGAGAATTCTATTTTTGTATATATTCAAAAAACTCAAAAACTACTGGACCAATTTTAAGAATTCGTCACTATACGGCTACATTATCAGCGAGTAACATAGGCAATAATTTTTATTACTTTTTAATTTCACGCGGGCAAATTCGCGAGCATCAGCTAGTATGTTATATTCTAAAGTAAAAAGAGCGCATTTAAACTATGAAACTTCTAAAAAATAATAACTACATCAGGTAATAATTAGGGTTAAATGATTAAAAAAAAATTAAACAAATTTTAATAATGTAACATGAAAATAGATATGTCGGAATACTGAATCGCATTAACTGTTTTTTTTTTATTGGAACTAAAATGAAAAGTTTTCTTGGTGCCAATGTTCAAAAGTACAATATTGGACATTGGCAGTACACAAGCAAACACGCCTTTTTCACATTTACGACAATTACTGGAAATAAAAATTAAAATATTAAGAAAGAAATACAAACAAAACCTTTCAAGATTTAAAATCCCTCAGTTGTTCACTTCACTTTGACAGGCCGCGAGATTTGTTTATCAACATGTAACATATGAGTATGACACCGTTTAACAGTTCATAGCGCTTTGGCGGGAATTTACGTACCTAGTTTTATTTACGTGTATTTTTACTGAAACCTTAATTATTTTTATTAAATTTCTTCCGTGATTACATAGGATCTATCAACAAAGTAAATTTAATTCCAAAAATTAGTACACACCCCTGTTATCGTTATAAACCTACAAGTATATTTTGGCAGTTTTTTTTTTACATTGACAGAGCCTGCTAGTTACCAGATAGTAAAATAATTCCCAACTTCTTTCGAAATTCTCTTAAGCTGAAAACTAAACCAAGCTATATGCTAATGATTTTCAACTTATGACCTGTGTGTCCATAAACGTTGTTAACTATTTAAATTGATACAACATATAGATTATTTAAGCAAAGACGAAGAATACTTTATAATTTTTTGTTCCTAATTGCGTTCAGCATTAAAAATAACGAGTAATGGTAAGTTACAATATTAATCCTCATAATTTCCCTTATATCAAATAAAACTATATTAATCAATGTACTTTTTGTGGAAATTCTAAATTACAACAATGGCGATATTCACACGTGTAGTTGCCACTTCCTCATTGGTCAAAATATGACGGTTTTAAGATGATATTGTTAGTTCACAAAAATTATAAGTTTTTATTATTTATACAAAATAATTGCTTTGCTCATCTTACTTCTTTTTAATAATTATTAAATATAGCCGTTTTTGTTAATAATAAAATAACACACATTATTATCGTTGGCTATTAACATTTTCAAATACGTGTTTTGTTTTTCTATCGATAGATGGCGTTCAAACTTCCTTTAAAATATGTAGATTGCGATGTACAGTTTCACACAGACTGAGTGACTTTCGTCGTGTGGACAAATTCCGTTATCGCTTCTCGGCCTTTTGGCTAAGATCAAAGTGTAGTATCTGTTCTTTTCAGCTTAATATCTGAAAGTTCCCGCACTGCGGGACCAGTATATTAAACTGATTTTTGTAAAACGACGGGATGTTCGGGGCTCGCTCCACTCCCGTCACGGGTCGGCCCGGCATTGCAGTGCTGCCGGGATCGGCCCACATATAAACCTAAAACAACAAAATTTATGTGGTACAGGCCCGGTATAACTTTGTATAACCATGACGTCAGAGTATTTAATTCAAACATTTCATAATGAAAATACGCATTCGATCGATGACCATGAATATCATACAATATCTTCAGTTCGTTATCTCTCATTTACAAGTATTCTCCATTGCCACTTTTTTCAAAATATGAGCTTTTATAACCCTCATGTAAATAAAACTGACATTAAAAATAATTCAGTGTTATTACGTAAGGCTAGAAAGCCTAAATATAACAGATAAATTATAAACTAAACACTGTTAATAATAGTGTTTTTTTTTATTTATAATTGTATCGATATCAAATAATGTAATAATCGATATAAAATATTTCAGTTTAAATTACATAACAACAAATTTAAATATTATTTTTAAAGCGAACAGAGTCTGGGTTAAGCTAGACACATCATTATAATACAAAAACCATTTATTTAATTGCTGGGAATTAAATACTTAAGCTAAGACTTTCTAAATATGCAGATTCATATTCTTTGTACGTCTTTCCATCTACAGTTCGGTTACTAGATATGTATTTCTTCAAGTCATTGTCGCTCCAGAATTTTAAATTATCCATTCCTGTATCTAGAGCTTTAATACTCTGTGTTAATGCCAACTGGTTTCGCGCCATTTGCTTTTTCATTCTGTCAACCCTTTGTGCTTCTTCTTCGATTATTGATTTTATATCTGTGTACAAGGTCTTTATTTTTTAACACAATAGTAATAGTAGTTATATGTTATTTTCATTATCATTTTGGGTATAATTGTATGAAACTTCAATAGAGATTTAGCAAGTGTTACAGATGTTTAAGAGCTATGGTATATACTATTATATTTTCATACTAATATTATGTGAAAGTTTGGGCGTTTGTTAAATTACCAAAACGGTTTAATAGATCTTGATAAAATTTGACAACGAAGTACAACATACTTTTGAATAAGCCACTAAATTTTGTTTAATTCCGCGCAGGCGAAGTCGCGGTTAAATTCTATTTTGATATAAAACTTTTATATATTTTACTAGCTGTTGCTCGCGTCGTCGTCTGTGTGAAATTAAAAAGGATTAAAAGAAGTTGCCTAGGTTACTCAGTGGTTAAATAGCTTTTTAATGGTACAAGAAGTTTTGAAGGTCCAGTAGTTTTTGAGTTATTTCAATACATACAAAAACCGAAAAATACAAATCTTTCCTTTTTATATTATTAGTACTGATGAATTTATTCATTTATAAATAGGTATTTATATCTTTTAGTTGTCAACAGCCAAATAACGGCCATAACTGTATAAAAATAACTCACCTAACGAAAAATCCTTTACTCTAACACCATTACTTTGTCTTACAATAGCTTCAAGTGTACACTTAGTGTCAACATCCTGTAGCAATTGACGCAAGCTGTTGAGACCAGAGGAGGGAGGCAGCAGGGAACAGGACATGTCTTCTGATAACCATTGTGACTGTAGTCGACTGATCAAAGCTTGTATAGTTTCAAATATCCAGATTTTCTCACCACTGAAAAACGTTTAATCTTCTATACTAATAAAATAATGCGTAAACACACACTACTTCGTAGAGTTTAACACGTCTCTTAGGGAAAGTAACTTTTCATTAAAAATGTATACAAATAAATCTATACATATAATAAAATTGGAGTGTCTGTAATATGAAGAGAAAAATTCCAGATTTCGGAAAGATGATGTATTTGCGTTGCTGAAAACGAAAATAGCATTTTAAAAATTTTTGTCAGTCTGTCCGCAAGCCGCGTATGTTCCGGGTAATCTCCGAAACGGCTGCGTCGATTTCGACCAGACTTTCACTGGAGGGTAGCTGACTGAATAGGCATATTATAGGCATTTTTTTTTAAATACCGCGCTGTCAAAATAGCGTGACGGGTGGTCCAAATTTGATAACTTCACATATTTTTTTTTAATGCTATTAAAACCTTTTTATTCTAATTGTATTGGAAACCCTCACCTTTCTAATACAAGTTTCCTGTTCAGCTCCAATTTAAATTTGTTCAAGTAAATTTTCAATTCATCGACGAATCTTGGATCACTAGCTGTAAATAAGAAGTTACTGTTTAGTAAAAAATAAAAGGTTTAATTCATTATTTATAGTTTAACTAGTTTTCACCCGCGACTTCGACCGCGTAGAATTAAAAAAAAAGCAAAAATGAGTAGCTTCCTCGAGGTCCCTTCAGCCGTTTAGGCTACAAACTCTAACAAACATCCATCCATCTAAACTTTCGCATTTATAATATAAGTAAGAAGTAAGATTATTTAATTTCTAGATTTATTTGCAATCACTAAAATAGATTATAGCTACAAAGATTTTTTCCCCTTTCTCTCTTTTAGTTTCCTTGTGAAAAGTGAAGTAGTATTTTAAAATAACGGTAGTCTAAGTTATGGCAACCTTCACTCTGCTGCTGACTTGTAGTTTTCTCGGGAAGCATTTTTATCAGATTTATTTACATCTAAGTTTTAATAGCGTAAAAATAGCATAAGGCGAGTCTACAATGTAGGTTAACATAAAAGGAAATTCAAAAATACGCTGTCATTGCTTACATTCTACATAACAAAGTGTTTTTACGTTTTATATTAGTACTAGCTGTTCCCGTGCGACTTCATCCGCATAAGATTATTCACATTTTATTTCATTATTTACATGTGTCAAATTATCAATTGCAAATGTCACAATGACATGGCATGACAAACCTTAGCAATCTTGCTTTCTTGATGTTGGCAGCAACTTAAGGTCTCTTTCCTCTTTCCTTAGGGTTTTTATCCAAAATATTTACCCCCTAAGTTTAATGGCGTGAAAATATATAGCCTAAAGTTGCTGACATCTTAGGCAACAAAGAAGTGTGTGTTTACGCTTTATTATAATAGTATAGATAGAATATAAATATAGGTACATACAAACATCACTGAATGAGTTTTCCGATAGATCCATATCTAGACTTAATTCTTGTTTCGATCTGCGTTTTTCTCGCCTTTCCTCATAATATTGACGCAGAGTAGATAACTGTTCCTTGGGAAAATCTAGTTGTATTCCTGTACAAAAAAAAAAACAGAATTAAAAAAACACATATACTTGAAATATAAAAACTATTGTTATATTGTGGAAAACTGTATGAAAAAAATCTTTACAGACAAAAATATTATATCGACGGGTGAAAGGCTATTTGTTTCAACCGCCATTTTAGGTTATAATGACGTACATGTAATATATCCAGAATAGGTGATTTTTTTCTGCGTCGTTAATAAATAATGAAGTATGCAGAATTATAGTAATTTTAATCTAAAACTCGTCTGAAAACCTTCAATTTAAACTATTGTTAGAATTTGTTTTTATGCTTTTTTCTAAAAACTTTAGATGGCCCTCCTGAACATTTAACCTAATGGCGCTTAAAACAAATAGCTTTTCACCCATCGATATACTGAAATTTTTTGAAAGGCAAAGACAAATTAAACAACATATTTATGATTGACTAGCTTTCGCCCGCGACTCCGCATGCATGAAATAAATAAACAATTGTAAGTTGCCTATGTCTTCTTTCGGACTACCCTCTACATTCTCTAACTACAAACTCTAACAAATATCCATACATTTAAACTTTCGCATTTATAACATTAGTAATAGTAAAATAATATTATTTGTTGCGCATTAGTAAATTTTCAAGTAAATCTAATATAGAAAATGCCTTTCTTTATATATTAAGTATAGTTAAAAAAATCTTAGTGTCAACTATTCTTCATGTGTGTATTTTTACCTTTATTGATATAATTTTCGTTCGCAGGCAGATCTTTTCTCAGATTATTAAAGACGGTAAGGAGACATTCTTTAGCATTGTATATTTTTTTCTCCATCATTGACAGGGAACCTATCAACCACATTAATTCTTCTCTTTTTGATTCCTATAAATTTATTGTATTAGTTTGTTATAAGTAGCAGTCTTTTAAGTAGTTTGTGTGAGGAGGGTATCTATATACATATAATAAAATTGGAATGTCTGTAATATCAAAAGAATAATTCCAGAAATCTGGAATATGATGTATTTGCGTTGCTGATAACAAAAATCGCATTTTTTTTTGTCTGTCTGTCCCCAAGCTGAGTTTGTTACGGGTAATCTCCGAAACGGTTAGAATGATTTCGACCGAACTTTCACTGAAGGGTAGCTGGCAGACGGGCATGTTATAGGCTACTTTTGACCCCGGAAATAATTACTGTTCCCGCGATACAATGGATAAAATGATTTTGTTTTCTTAATATATATGAAGTAATAATAAAATTTTTCATTTCCTTCAAATTCGACAACAGTATGTATGGAGATGAATCATAAAATTATTTTTATCTATACTTTAGAAAGTTACACCAGTCCAAATATGAAAAGAATGCAGGAAGAGACTAATGATACATTTTTAATACAACAACTATCTATACTAATATAATAAAGCGTAAACACACACTTCTTTGTCGCCTAAGATGTCAGCAATTACAGCATTTTTTTGAGTAATTCTTTTTTTTAATAAAAAGTGTAGGGCTAGGACGTGTAGGGCACGTCACGTCAGGCTTCAGGCTATATATTTTCACGATATTAAACTTAGGGGGTTAATATTTTGGATAAAAACCCTAATGTGGGAAAGAGACCATAAGTTGTTGCCAGAATTAAGAAAGATTGCTAAGGTTTGTCATCGTCATGTCATTTTGACATTTGCTATTGAAAATTTCACGAACAATAAAATAAAATTTTCATAATTTCATGCGGATAAAGTCGCAGGGGTTCAGCTAGTTATAACATAAAAATAAACCAGCCAAGAGTTTCTACTATGGGCAATTTAATTTGTATTATTCATATAAATTAACTAGCTGTTGCTAGCGACTTCGTCCACGTGGAATTAAAAATATTGACTATGTTACTCAGTAATAACATAGGTTTTTAATGGTGAAAGAATTTTTATTTGTCCAATAGTGTTTGAATTATTTCAATACAAAATATTAGTATAGATTTATTTTTACTTACAATAGATTTATCAATAACTGCAATCTGCTGTATTGGTTTTTGTGTGTCAATTATTACATCATTTGTGTGGAATATTCCAGTCTTCGTATTTAACTCCTGCAGTAGAACTTTCAAAGCATTCACTTTGGCCTCGGATTGTTCTTTCTCACACTTCAGTACTAAAAGTTCACAATTCTCACCTGAAAGACAGTCCTGGAAATAAATTAACAATTTTATTATTAAATTTGAATCTAAAAGATAACTTATAAGATATTATTATAAATAATTAATGTACTAGCTTTCGCCCGTGATTGTGTCTGCATGGAATTAAAAAAACAAAACAAAAGTGAGTACCTATGTGTTCTTTCAGACTCTGCTTTACATCTATGGCAATTTCATCAAGATCTGTTCAGCAGTTAGGCTACAAACTCTAACAAACATCCATCCACCTACTTTTGCATTTACATTAAAAGTTTTTTCAAATATTAACAGGAATAATTTTGAAGATTGATAGGAGGAATTAACTAAAGATAGATGGAAAAAAAGAGAGAAAGGTAGATGCAGAGGAAGATTTCGTTTCCTTACACCAGTTGACTGCATTTAAAAAAAATCAATTTATTAAATGTCATCTTACACAGTATATAATTAAAATATATGTCGTAATCAGAAGAAATCAATTTGA